ATATATATATATATATATATATATACTTTTAAAAGGCCTAATCAGTATATAGTTTTCAGATTTCGATCCCATGCATATTCTGGATCAAACTCCTGATTCAGATCTGAACATTCTGGATCAAATCAGATCAGGATCCTATGTATATTATTCGAATCCAGACCTAGTCCGAAAAATTCTCAACCCCATTCTCCAATAGCTAAAATCATGCATTCGGTCGAGAGATGAAAGCACATCCCATGCTTCCTTTGGTATCTGATATAGTTAGTGAGCGCTTTCTAGATCGAAACATTCAACACATACAACTTCCATCCTAATACACCAACTTCAATCTTGACCTCCTACGGAGATATAAACGAAATTAAGAAATTGAACGCGCCTATCTCATCGCTAGGACAAGGGGTAGGCTCAAAAGGACATAGTTAGAAGCATAGTTACCAAGTGCATCCAACTAGGGTGGCGCTCCCGTTTCGGAACCCAGCTCCGGCGCTTCGTGGCCAGGATCTCGACTGGGACCCGTTCCAATTTTTTTGGGAACTCTCTCCTATTTATAGGATTCTCGATCCAAATCATAATGGAGCTCGATCCCACAATCGCATAGATCGCAATCTCACTTTCACACGGAACGTGTTCGTGTGTGTTAGAATACGCGTTAACACAACACAAAAAGTTTGTGCTGCCGATGGAGTAAATTGTTGTTTAGTATCATCAATGAGAAACCTAAGTTAGTCTTCTATAATAGAATATAAAAATAGATTTATTGTTTATTAGAGATTAAGACGAAAATAATAAAATCATTGGAAACATTTGGTTTGTCTGGCTTTTACATAATATGGTCATGAGGGTTCACATAAATACATGTTTTTAAAAAATTGATAGATCAATTTTGCATTTAATGCATGTAATGATAAATTTTTATTATTAAAATATTATTTCCTTTATTTTTTATTTCTAAGATGTGCATTAAATATGCATGTAATGATCAAATTTTAATTATTACAATATTAGATGCCCTCACTCATGTGTGTCTTCGAATATGTGTTAACACAAGACACAAAACTTATGCTACTAATGGAGTAAATTGTTGTTTAGTTTCATAAAGGACAAACCTAAATTGCTCTTTTATAGTGAAATATAAAAATTGATTTATTGTCAATTAGAGATTAAGGCGAAAAAAATAAAATTATAGAAAACATTTGGTTTATTTAACTTTTACCTAATATAGTTTTGCGGGTTCACAGGGAATATGAATAAAAGTATTTTTAATGATATCCTTTATGCGTATCATTTCCATTTCCATTTCGCACAAGGTTTTTAATGCATATCTAGTATTTAATGGTATTATTTTAAAAAATATATTTGTATTTTGGGGAGAGTAAAAAGGGAGATTTGAACTTTTTTGATAAAGTACTTTGAATGGAGCTCGATCATTTCCAAATAGGAACGTGGTCTTTCTTAGATGGGGGCTCAACTCATCCTTAAATGGGATATTGTTCCTATTGTAAATGTGAGCATGATCCTAATGAACATGGGAATACGAGGTTGATATTATCTTGAATTATTGAATCCGTAATTTTAAGGGATTGATTTCTTTTAATTTAAGTTTCCTATTTATTTGGGTAGAGCCTATTATTTAGGATCTTATAGATAAGTTCTACTTAGAATAAGATGGAGCCTCAGGTACACAAGTAGATAGAGATAAAGTTAAGTTTCCTAACATAGAAAGATAGAGCCCCAACTACCACCTCTTTGGGGTTTGCTTTTTCTATATAATAGGTTATTTAGAGACAAAAAGATCCAAAAGCATAGAAGGAAACTTTTACGTGTTTTTGTAGAGAGAGAAAAATTTATAGAGAAAGAAGGTTTTGTAGGAGATGAGTCTTGTAATTTTCTTTGATTGAGTGAAAAACATCGATCGTCTTTGCCTGTGGATGTAGTCACATCTGTGACGAACCACGTAAATCTTGGTGTTTTTTTATTATTATTTATTTCTTGCTTTATTTTTGTTGCTTGGTGCTTGTTTTTGTCAATTCTTTTTCTCGTACTTTATTTGCTAAAAATCAACTTGTTGGGTTTAGAGATTCCGCGCATAACACACGATCCCATTTTACATGGAACGTGTTCTCGTTAAATGAGAATCTCGATCCCAATGTATTGCGAACTTGCTCCCTATTCAAACAGGATTTGGATCTGTAACTTCCATCCTCATCAAAACTCGCTCGTCGAGCTCTGGAGCTTTGGCAGTCGTCGATCTGATGCTCTCGCTCTCGGAACCGGAGCCATTCCCACTCTCGGTAACAATGTTTGGACATATTACCCTTAATAAAGCAGAATGACAAACTAGGATTTTGTAGTGACCCCAACTAGTTAAGAAAAGGCATCGACGATTGTGCACCTATCAAGTAGGATTCTAATCCAATCAGCGGTGACCTCTAACATTTTGTGCTCTTCGTATTTATAATACCCATTGTGCACACTGTTAATTCCTCTTAGAGACAGATTTCTTGCTAATTAATTTTGAGACCCGTAAGTTTTTGTCCATTAAGCTAGTTTAACCACGAGTCAGATATAAATATGGCTAGCTTACAATACCTCAAAAAGTATAGTAAAGTTTTTTTTTTTTAGAAGAGTACTTAACATTATTAGAAAATTATTGTAGAGTTGAGCTACGCTGAAGGATCGTACATACAAAAATATACATCATTTCTTCTGGTTGAATCACAATAAGGTGTTAAGCAAGCACTGCCTTCATCATCATCCAAGCTTTGTCCCAATTATTAAAGTGATGCTAAGCCAAGCATTATTTTAACTTTCATAAATCAAGCACTACAATCACCTGCAAGTTAATACTTCTCACAAAATTCAGAGTAGCACGCTTGGAAAAAAGACCACTGAGGATTAGAGAGAGAAGCATTTCTTTATTCTATTTTGGGTAGGTCAATAGTTGGAATGGAAGCTGGGATCTAGCATTGCAAGCAAAGCAATTAAGCCCATGCCCTATTACTGAGAATCGTTGTTTATTGATGCTTAAGGAGGAAGATACACTTCCATTCATTCAAAAGAGTACATATATATACAATAGAGGATGTCCATGAATTACGACTGCCCTAAATAAAACAATAAAGCAACTTACTATAACATGGGTCCATTTAAGTAATTCCTATCAGCTAGTTCAAACACCTTCCTAATTTATGGCCCCACAGCCACACACGTACCAACAACTATAACATCCTATGCGAGTATACTAATACTTTATAGGATTGTATACTAGGAGAATTTATCTTTGTTATAAGAAGGTTATAATTACTCATAGGAATTAGATGTCAAATTGAATGGTTTGGAGTGAATCATAAAATTCAAGTTTTTTTTTTTTGCTTGGGGTGTATCACAAAATTCAAGATTTTGTTTTTTTAAACTTTGAATATAGTAATTTGAAATATGAGAGACAAGACCTCCATGTACCAAAAATAAATGATCGTACTTTTCCATACCTCATTACATAACGATGAAACATACTTCATTTTTTAGGGTGGTCTACTTAATATTATCCAGGCAAGAGCTACTTGCCCTAACCAAATGAAATGGTCAAAATTACCCCATGACACCTATGAAGGAGAAGAAAATGTTCAAGAAGGCTTTTTAGTTCAATACTATGAAATGGTGCGCAAATTGCCATATGTTTAACATAAAATTGGACACGTTCATATAACATATCCAATTTTTAGACACACGGTGTCTTATTTGATTTTATATTGATACTGGACATTTGTAGGAGTTGAACTCATAAACATTCGAGATGGCATTAAAAATAAGAGTAATGATCCTATAGGACTCTCTTCCACTTATGTTTCTAGGACCCCAAAGGATCACCATTAAATTTGATATGGACCTTTAAAAAAGTTATATGAGAGTGAGACTTGATTTTTTTAGAGATTTATGCCAAATTTAATGGTGATTTTTTGAAGTCCTACACACATAAATAGAGAAAGATCTTATAAAATCATTTTTTTTAAAATAATAACCCCCGAGTTTCCTAATATATAACATATATTACTTGTATCATTACTAACCCATGTCAAATGTTATAAATGCTTGATGGTGCATTTATTACAGAGAAAGTAATAATTAGACAGTTAAAAGTGAAGACATGCATATGTTTATGCATGCCCTCTAAGGCTCTAATGCATAAAAGTCATAAAGGATGCCCTTTAATATAGCAGTACAGGCAATTGTCCATCCATATTATTATAATGATTTTTGAATATATTACTATAATGGGCGCAGTTTGTATAGAGCCTAGGCTCTAAACAATCAAATTAGAGCCTACTTTCAAATAGTATCGAGAAATGTGGTTTTAATATTGAAAATCTTTGTAATAGCCTTAAAATATATTTTTATATTTATTTATAAAATTTAAAGCTTCAAAACTAGTATAGATCGATAGATCTATAGTGCACCGGATGACTCTATTTGCAATCCAAAAAGTGTAAAGCATCTATCTTAAAGATGGATGCAAGTAGGTGTTCCATCTAAAAACAATGGAAACTAAAAGTCTAAATGTTTTTTTACTAGAATTATTATTTCAATATTTTAAAATTTACTTATTTTTTCATATTCATGATCTCCATGTTATAGATTACATGTCCATAAAAATTAAGTTAAAAAATCCATCTCAAAAATAAATTTATTAATAGGCCCGCATTTATACATATGCGGGCTTGGCCACATAAAACCGGGTCCACATATTTATGAATATAATTCATTGCTATATTTACATAGGTGCATATGGACTCAAACAATAACATCTTATATAAAACATATTTGTTGTAATTTATTAAATTAAGATGTAGTGTGTAATTTAAATTGGAGATCGAGAAGATCTATGAAAACTTAAAAATTGACGGTCCAAAAATGTATTACAAGATGCATTATTTCCATAACTTAGAAATCCATTTTTTTTCTCAAGTCCATGCATCTTGATGTCGAGATGATCAATTTGAGGATATTTGGGCATCAAGACAACCTCTTCTAATGAAATTTTTGAGGTAGACTCTAATTTCCTTAGATATATCTTACAGCTTAAATATATATTAAATCAATAGAAATTATTTAAGTTTAATGAGATAGAATGCTTAAATTTTTTAAATTTTTTTTTTGACTTTTTTTTTCACCTTGATGGGCCGAACAGATCAAACCGGTCCAAGTCAGCTGGTTTACTGGGTGGACTAGGAACCGGTAGGTGACCCATTCGGCCACCCAGTCCGATCTTTTGAACACTATTGAAAACAAAGCTGAACCACCATGAAAAAATAAGATGGAAGTGTGTGCTCTCTAATGTCTCTCTTGCGAACAAAGCAGACCCACCCTGAGAAAATAAGGTTTGAGGTGTGTGCTCCCTAATCTCTTTTAAGAACCTACAACTTCGTATGGGGGGCCATTTATTAGGCATTTCACAGGAACATTAGCTAAAACAAATTGCCCATTCTCATGGTGACAAACAAATTTCCCTATCTATTATTCCCAGAATTCACAATCTTATTATTTCACAGAGATGGATTCCTTGCTAATTTATTTTTAAACTTAAAGATTTTGTGCATGAAGCTAGCTTAGCCATGAGTCAGATTCAAATATGGCGAGTATGCAATACTTTAGACAATATTAAGTTTGAAAATCTGTTCTTTGAGCCAGCGAATCATCGTCATCTGAGGGAGAGAAAGAGGAAGTAGAATGGGCATCATCATCTGAGGTTGAAGTGCTATGAGGCGGTGCGGCAACACTTGTAGAGAAGTGTTCCTTCAATAAGTTGGAGCGCAAAGGGCTCTCCAAACATTTGCTAGGATACCGCTGTCGAAGTCGATATGTTTCTATGTTCTCTCTTTTCTTCGAAAATAATGCAAAGAAGGGTGTTTCTCACTAAAGTGCCTAGCCGCAGCGATAGTTCTTCGCCATATACTTTGATGCGTTACTTTGGCTTCACCTGTTTCATTATTGTGATCCTCCTTGCAAATTTGGATGAAAAAAATTATCAAGGCTGCAATGGAAGTTGTTGACACGAGGAGGAAGAGGCCCCAAAAGCAATCGAGGCTCAAACCGTTCGAAGCCACATCAGTTGATGAGGTTGGCTGCACAGTACGGCTTCCAAGCCAAGCCATCTCCATTCCCTTCATCTTCTCATCTTCAGTCACTTCCAAGACTGCTTTGGAAATATCAGAAAGTAGTGGGGAGTTCTTTTGGAACACCTGGTTCAAGTAGAAAAATGTTAAGTCATATTGGCATAATGCAATGGCATTGCTCACATTGGTGAAAAGAAAAGTACATTGTAGTCCAGTGGACCATGTAAATTCATAATTCATTGGGGTGCATGTTTTGTTTTTGGTCTGTCACAATGTCTTCATCATCATCCATCATTTACTTGGATAATGATGATCCAAGAATGGTAGTTTCCCACAGTCCATGGGATCACAGTACAGTTTCCCATGCATAAAAACGGAATAGCTTATCATGACTCCTAAGGAAATATAGGAGGCTTCAACAAACACAATAGCTGTTACCAAAAAATCTAGCTTTTTTTTAATCTCTTTTTTAAAAAAAACCTAACTTACTCTAACTTCTATAATAAAATATTTGCTTTCACTTTTCCCAGGGAAAAGGTGGAGAAAAAATGCAGATATTTTTTAAAAGTGGAAATTAAGTGGGGTGTGTGTGTTACAGAGAGAGATATTACATAGCCAAAGCCCCCAGTTCTGAAAATTGGCCCAGCCATGGAAAATTCATCATGGTAAGAAGTGAGAAAAACTTTGATGTAGGGGATCTCAAGAAAGATAGCTGAAACCCCGCCATTAGCACTGCTTTTTCTCAAGGCCTTTGCCAATTCACTAGAAGTGTTGAATCCCTTGATCTTCGACTTTGCGATGCCCAACTTCTTCAACATCCCCTCAACAAAAGAATCATCATGGTATCCCACATAATCTCCATTTTCTATGAGGGTTTGCACATCTGTAATGGTGGGTTCCAGTTGCTCTACTGTTAGAATAGAGGCCAAATTTGCAGTATAACTTTGGCTTATTATAAGAACCACAAATAACCATAGGACTAGCACGAACCGTGTTAGATTGTTGTTGACCTTAGCACCTGAAAATCATAAGCAAACTTTCATGCTTGAGAGTGTTCAAGTAGAGAGAGTTTCAAGCCTTTAATAATGACTACACTAGTGGTATTAAGTCTTTTATCACATTTTAATTCTATAACAAAAACATGAAAAAACAAAGCGTAAAAAGTTCTTACAATGCGAAAAGACAAGAGCCGAGAAAGAGAAATATAGAGCCTTGCCCAGTTGATCCATCGGTGTCCCTTGGAAATAGTCGTTTACCCTATGCTCCAAAGACCAAACCACAAATGCCATGAAGATGAAGCAACATGCAGTGACCGACCAAAGCTCTCGTGTTAAAGGCTTCAAGAATACCCATGCTCTGCTTCTCCTCTCTTTCTGCATTGGAACTACCATTGACACCCCTGGCTTGGAGTATGGGGGGGTAAAGTCGACATAATTTGAACGATTTGCCGTTATAGTCACATCACCCACAACGGCATCGTACGTCTGTTCTCAAATTAGGGATATGCAAATACAGAAAACATTCATCTCTAACAGAATTAATGCATCATTATAAATAACAAAAACAAAGAAGAGCTATTATAGACAGTAGCAAAATAAGAATAATCAAAACGTTAACGTAATGTGTGATGGACATGGCAAAGATAAGTATATCATGCAGTTGTTGTGTATTAACAGCAGGGGGATGGTGGAGATTAATTACTTTCTTTGCTACAAGTAAGTTGCCCCATTTCAAAGGTTGAACACAAAAGATACTACAGCAGTAATTTGGTAACCTATATTAAATGATAAAGTTACTAGTACATATCCCAGTCCCAGGAAGTAAAAATCTAGAGACAGGGAAAGTGCATTGTAATCTAAGGACACTAATGACCATTGTTCTTTGGGTCCATCACCTGCCATTTGAATGATGGATGGCGAATAGTTGAGAGAGAGTGGGACCCGTCAAGATACGAAGACATGATCCTATTGGTGGCATCTGAGTCTATGTCCATTTCAATCCATCATTTCAATGGACTGGGGAGTTCCTATGGGTTATGCATTTCTTTAGTCCTTGGGATTAAATTGTGGATTGGCTTAGTGCCCACAATTCATAATCATAAGAAGTATCATAAGATCTTAATGACTATGGTACATGTGTGGTACCATAGTCATATAATCTTAATGACTATGGTACATGTACCATAGTCATATAATCCTCAAGACATGTACCATAGTCATATAATCTTAATGACTATGGTACAGGTCTTGAGGATTATCACCACTTGTACAATGGGTTAAACCATTATGGAGACAGAGTGGGACCATTGTCGAAGTCATATCATGTTCTTGCAGATCCAACTCTCTTTCTCCATCTCTATCAAACCCATTGATTGTACAGTGATAACTCTAAAGAATTTAAACTTCTAATGGATTACGATATAACAACCAGTTTGTAACAATGGGTGATAGATCTGTTCTTACCCCAAGATAGACCTGGTAAACAAGGTCATTGTAGGTCCCTATTCTTCTCCCATGGCTAATTTCAACTGGAACAAATTCATAGGGGACATCATAGGGTAGAGCATCGAGAACAGCCTTAAAAATGACGACTGAAAATCCGGTCACTGTTAATTGATTATTCAAGTCCCTCTCCACCTTCACAAACTCCTGAAATCCTATTTTGACAGGAACCGCAATCTTTAACTTTCCACCATTTGTTGGGAACATCCAACCCCTAGGGACCCTCACTGATTCCCCGGGCCAGATCACCATCTTTAGATCTGTCACTCTAGTCATGTAAACCTTCTTCTTTTCTTGGGTTTCTTGTTTGATCACCTGAGATAGACCAAATTCAGGTGTCCAAAAACCGATCTCTCTAATGCTTTGACCGACAATGTTGATTATTTGGAAATTAGAAACTTCAAGCTCACCGTCAATGAACTGGATGTTGCTGGTTAACCCCTCAAATTGTGTATTTAATATGGCTTTTAAGAGAAATCGGCCCACTGGAGAAATTTGTGGGGTATAAAAATCCAATGGGTTTCTGGCCACTATTGGGGTGATTGGTTGTCGGAGACTAACAACTTTAGTGACAGATTTCTCCATGGCAAGAGCAAGAGCCCAGGTGGTGTCATAGGCTCTTAATCCAAAAACGTTCAGATGTGGGATTTGAATTTCGTTTGGGTATTCTGCCCTGTAACGATGCTTCCATCTTGTGGTGAACTTAGCCAGTTGTTTAGACTCTTCTACATATGCTTTAACTCCCAAAACCCCTTGCATTGACGCTATAACTGATGGGTCCATAGAGTCCAAGAGACTGGTGAACCCATCAGTTATGATCCAGGCATACTCCTCACTCATACAGCCGAGTTGTTGAACCTGCCAGAAGAACCTGGAGGCCAGGACAGATGACATATGAATGATAAAGACCCTGTTTTTCATTGACACTAGTTTGAGAATCTCCTCTCCGATAAATTCCTCCGAAGCAGATGAGGCAATGACAATTTTGTGTCGAATGTGAGAACCGATTTCTTCCACGGCATCTATTAAGTAGGGAATGAAGCCAATACAATATTTGGTATTTTCGGATATGGCTACAGCTTGTCTCCATCCGTAGGCTCGGAGGAGAGCTGCGATAGGCTTGGCTTGAGCTGAGTCCTTGATAGTTGCTCGCACAAAGTAAGGAGTGCGAGTTGAGGAGAGAAAAGGAGAAGTTGCAGAGAAAGAGAGAATGGGCACTTGAGACTTGTTTCCAAGTTCGGCCAGAAACTCTGCCTCGGCTGATAACTGAGGGCCTAAGATGGCAGCTACCTCCACATTCTTCAAGAGGTCCAAAGCTGTAGCATTCCAAAACGTTGTTAGCATCTAAACCAAAAAAGATGTACCATAGAGGCTGTTAAAAGAAGATAGAAACGAAGAAAAGTATCTCAATCTTCAGTGGGGATTGTGTTTTGTGTGATCATTTGCATGAAATGCATACTTGTAACAGTCCCCCCAACTTTTGGAACAATAAGGAGCTGGAACAGTTTAACTTTACACTAAGCATGTTTAAATGTAAGTGGTATGTGCTTATATGTACTAAAACATTCCTACTTTAGAGTTTAGACCTCCATGTTGTGGACATTTAACATTGGAGTTGGACCGGCGTGTGGTTCACAGACCTTCACACCATTCGTGTCGTGGTGGACTATACAGTGTCGACAAGTTTGGAGTTGTCGAACCAGTTTCTCAGACTGACCTGAACCCGACCCCCCCCCTGTCCATAGGTCAACCCAACCTAATTGCCACTCTTATATTCATGCCACAACCAAGCCGATTTTGTTTTATAATTTAGTAGTAGGAATTGAAGTTGAAATATAACATTGCTAATTTCAACTTGCATAGTCATCAGGTTAACTCAAAATATACTCCGTTGGTCTAAAAAAATGCGTAGAAAAATCAATCTGAATTGCAAATGAGTTACGTATGAAAACTTTCCTTGAAAATTGGAAGGTCTTGTTCACTACGAAGGAAGAAGATCTCAAAGGAAGTTCTAGGTGTCTGTGTTTGATAACCTGCTAGAATGTTAAAGAAGTTCTAGGTCGGTTGTTTGACAACGTGTTTGAATATATAGTTATATTTATTTAAATACTATTTAAATATTATTTATTAAATGTTATTTAAATATTAAATATAAAATAATATATAATATATATTTTATTGTAAATATTTATTACATAAGTATATTATGTAATAAAATATATTATATATTATATTTTATATAATAAAATACATTATATTACATAAATATATATGCTATATGTAATACAAATAAATTTTGATAATTTAAATATAAATATATAAAACATAAAATAATGGAAAAATTACACATATATCCGTTCTATTTACGTTATTACGAATGTACCGAATAGTTTTCGTTATTACGTGCCTGTCCGTTTTTTACCTTTCATAACATAAATTTAAAAAAAAGACAACTTTACCCTTTTTCGGGTGTTAAACAACCGAATTGAAGGGTTTTCAATTTTTTAAAATCTGAATTCAATGTATTTTCGGTTCTTGAACAATATCTTTCACATTTCAAAAAGCTTGAATTGCCAACATCTGAACATCTGAAAATGTCATTCAAATATGACTGCGAAATTCTAGAAACATTAAGGAGGTTAAAGTCGTATTTTTTTTTAAAATTACGTTATAAAAGGTAAAAAACGGACAGATATGTAATAACGAAAACTATTTAGTACATCTGTAATAACGCAAAGTATAACGGATATGTATGTAATTTTCCCTAAAATAATATATAATGTAGTATTTTTTATATTTATTTTATTAATATATATTATTATATATAATATATTTATAATATTATATAATAAATATATATTATATAATATACATAATATATAATTTAATTTATATATATATATGATAAAAATAATATAATATAAAAATAAAAATATAATATATAATATAATACAAATATAAATATAAATACAAGGAGCGAGGCAAAATAGGATTTGAAAAAGAAACCCTCTTCAAGGGTTACGATCCTATTTTAAGTTTGTCGTTTTAGACAAAACTTTTCTTCTTAAGGAATAAGGAAGTACTGGTGGAACTTTTTTAACTCTATAAATTCTGTGCATCAAACATGGGAGTTATCTCATATAGGACAATGCTACTACATAGTACGGAAAGTAGGAAACCTTTACTAGTGGCCACTGAAGTTTTAAAAAGACAGGGATCCCGACCCAATTCCTCCAAAATATTGGGAACTGACCGGATCCCTCTAGGAACCGAAACGTGACAGTTTTGGCCACAGTTATGTCAGCCAGAACTAGTACCACCTTTTATTTTTAAAGTTTTATCCTGTTTTGTTCTCTAATTCATTTGAATCGGGCAACTCATCACTCGTTTCTATTCAGTATTCCCAAGGTGGGAAATATTTAAATTTTACTGTGCATAAGAGATGCGGTTTGTATAGAGGGAAATTTCTATACTTCCCCTATAGCATAGAAGATCTATGCTTCTCCTACAATCCAGCCGTCCACTTTTGATCAAGAGAGTTACTCACTGTTTAATCTTAGATCTACGTCTTAAAGTATTTTATTTGTACTTTTTCTTTATTCAAATTGTATGAATATGAAATTTGGTACATTCCATCTTCTCATTGGGACACACCTATAAAAAATATTAAAAATAAAGTTTAGATAAAATATAATTATCAAAATAACCCTTGAATCTTTTAGAGATATTTTTATCTTTTATTTTATTGAAAATATTTTTTATTTATTTTTCACTAGTGCGAGTTTAATAGAAGATTGGACGTCCAAAATTTGGAATCAAAATAGTTTATTGAAAAAATATTAAAAATAAAATAGTGTAGAAATATGACATTGTGATTGGGGCAATCTTAGCCCTCCATTTAGAATGGACGGTTGGATAAAGGGAAGTATATAAGTTTTATGCAGTAGAAGAAGCATAGAAAGCTTGCCCTTATATAGAGCCTCGGCTCTCAACAATGCGCACCTTCAAATAGTATCGAGAAATGTGGTTTCAATTTTGGAAATTTTTGTAATGGCCTTAAAATATAGTTTCATCTTTAATTATAAAATTTAAAGCTTAAAAAATAGAGTAAATCGAACATATCTATGAAAACTTGAAAATTGACAGTCCAAAAAAGCGTTACAAGATGCACTATTTTCAAAACTTGAAATTCATTTTTTTTCTCATGTCCATGCATCTTGATGTCGAGATGATCAATTTGAAGATATTTTGGCATCAAAACAGCCTCTTCTAGTGAAATTTTTGAGAGGGGTTCTAATTTGAGTGTTTTGAGGCTTGGCTCTATATAAAATTTTCCTTTTAACAGTGTTTTTTTTGAAGATTAATTAAGAATAAAGCTTTCCTTTTTTATTTTCTTCTATATTTTTATTTTAATTAATGCCCAAGATATTCTTGAGTGATATAGACGAAGTTTCCGGTACTAGAGAAACAGAGTTGACAAAATTGTACCTTGTCGACATCGGAGTCATCATTAAGAATTTGTGGCAGATGACTCGATACTAAACCATAGACCAGATATTTATTTAGATTGGCCCATAGTGCACCATACGCCATAGATGACTAGGGCTGTTAGCGGGTTGGGCTTGAGCCAGCTCGAACATTTCTTGCTCCAAAAATCTGCTTTTTGGGGGATGCCTAAACTGAATCCAAAAGAAGAGATTGATGTCCGAGTCGACCAGACCGGACCCGAAGAAAATTTAGGTTTCTATATAATTATGTTATATAATGGTTAATAAATATACGTGCAATATCCCTTTGACATGTTTACAGTATTTTTAGGCGAGGCCCAAGTTGGGCGAGGGGGAGTCAGAAATTATTTCGGGCATTGAAGAGGCCCGACCCGCACCTGGCAGATGACCCTCTTCTATGCCCTGAATTCAGCCCGAAACCAGGATCGAAAGCTATCAGCCCTGTATACCTCTGGTTAGATGGATCCTAGGAGCCCTAAACCTCTAGTTAGAGGAAATCCTAGGGCAACATAGACCATTTAACAATAGTTAATCCTATCCCGAGATATAAAGGATATTGGTGCGCGCGCAGAGAGAGAGAGAGAGAGAGAGAGAGAGAGAGAGAGAGTACCAGCTGAGGCAGTCTGCACAACATCTAGTCCTGAGTCTCTCCTTGAGAGTAGTATTCTGGTTTTGTGGTTGGGGTGTTCTTTGTAGAAATCTTCGAGGGCCATTGTTATGCACAAATTGCTCACTCTCCCTACCCATGAATCCAATGCCAAAATCACTCCAACATTAACATTAACAACTCTAGGCCCATTTGCTTCTTCAATACCTAATGCTATACAAAAATGAAAGCATACAAGAAACAGAACACTCCGGACCATTTTTTCTAGCCCGGTGTGATTCCCCGAAATGGTCGAAGCGCGGGGCTTCAACTAGGGGGCGTGACACCAGGAAATAACTCATAGTCTGCCCTTTAAACCATTGTCTACAAAAAGAGCAACAAATGAGGAACGAATCTTTGAAAACGAGTTTTTCTTTGCTCCCCATTCTCTTTGGTTTTTTTTTTATTTATTTTCCCTTGGACTAAGTGGGCCAATGGAAGTTGGATTTTTGCCTTGCCCCGCATTAAATAGTGTTTTTAGGTCCTAGTCCTTGTTTCAAAATAGTTGGGATATTGATTCGGGCTTAACCACGGTTAAACCCAATTTTCCTAAGGTTAACTCCAAGGCCAAGGAGAAGGGAACATATTCTGTTCTAAACAAACTTTGTATTATAAACATCAACAAACACCTCTCTTACTCTTAATTATTACCAACCCATCTCTCCGCTCCTCAGAGGCCAGTCATCTAATATCCGCTGATATTTCCCACAGTCGTCTCGTGACATGCATATCGATGTTTTCGTAATGTAGGTGTCAAACTATATATCAAATGTACGAAGGAACCACCACATTTGTTAAAATGGGGAGTATATGGTGCACAAACCAGACCCCTACCGTTCTTCGAACTCAACATACGTTAGAGATGATCTGCTATTTGACTTTATTGATACACAACCGAATAGTGGTTTGATCATCATTGTTTGTTGATGACACATATGGCAGATGGATGGTGTGCACAACGTAAACCCAAAAAAGAAACAGAGGAAAAAAAAAACATCATTGCCATCTCTTCCATATACGTTCCATGACCTTCTATCTTACTTTTTTTTGTTTTTTTTTGACAATATTAAAAAAAAATATTAATCATGAAATGTTACAGTACAATCAAATAATCAATACATCCGAAATAACCAAAGTCTGCATCGAACTTCCTCTCTTGGCCAATATGTCCACCATGTCGTTTACCTATAAACATGCTGAAAAGCACACCGGCAATCACCGACATAACCATAACTTCGATATCAAATTCCATGGTGGTCTGGATACATTCATACACCAATTTATCACATTTTGCGAATCACATTCAATCACACACCCTTCCTGCAAACCACGATCTTTAAAAATCTCAAGACCTTGTAACACCACACGGCCCTGCAAAGCACAAAACACAATCACCATGGTGATGCTTCAAAAGCCCCCAATCCCAACAATCCCTGGGTTACCTAGACAGCTTCCGTCACAATTCATCTTTAAGCTTCCCACAATCAAGGGAATCCATCGACCTTTATTTCTTACTTTCACTATCTTCAGCAGCATCAAATTCCTAACATTCACCTCCCTATCCACCTTGAGACCCAAACGTCACTTTGAGACCCAATCCCACTTTACAACATAGTAGCATTCTTCAGATATTCAAAATCTGCTCCATAGATGCATCATAGCACAACAATGTATCGTCAGCATATTGTATGTGTGAAATCTGTTAACTATCCTCTACTACTTTAAAACCTTTGAAACGGCCCCTAGCCACCACATTTCCATTACACCGACTAAAGGCCTCCCCCATGATTGTGAAAAGGATGGGGACAATGGGTCACATAGTCTCAACCCCTTAATGCTTTAAAGAAACCTTTCTGGCTACCTTCTACCAATATCGAGAAACGAGTGCTCTCTAAACAGCCCTTAATCCATTTACACCACCTATCTCTAAACCCCATACATCTCAAAACTTCTAAAGGTACATCCCAATCCACCCGATCATATGCCTTTTTCAAATCCAATTTTAGCAAAACACCTATTTCCCCCAAATAAACTCTTAGAATGAATGCACTTTTGCACAATTAGGACCCCATAGTGATAATACGCCTGTGGATAAATGCAGACCGGGACCCAACACAACTTTATTAAGCACCCTCTTCAACTTTCAGAGTCTTAAAAGAGTCCATGACGTACCTATCTTCAGAGTCTTAACAGAGTCCAACGTACCAAATGGGCCTTTGGTTTTAAAAATAAGGAGGACACTTTTATATATAGTGTTGACATATATTGAAATTCAACAAAATCACTTGACAAAACAACATGTAGAATCGTGTCTAAACGTATTGACACGTGCCTAAGTATCAACATGTGTCGACACAAAACATAAGAGAGAAGATAGTGACTATGTAACATTGCTTCTACTGACCATTCTTACTCTTACAGGAGTCTTAACCACAAGTTAACAATTTTAATTAGCTATAAATCGTAGGGACCCAAATATAAAATCAAGTTTTACAAAGGGCAAAACCCTAATTTAATCCTTACGGCAGCCAAAAGCCTAATCTTCGCTCCAGTAGTACACCATGCATCAAGATGGATGCTTTATGTACAGCCCACCAGTAGTTGACGCCTTTATTTATTTTTTGAACGATTGCTTGACCTCTTTATTAACTCCAATTGGGGGAGTGTTTTAGATGGCCTTGTTTTTGGTCATGCCGATTCCTGATCCGAGATCATCGATCCGCTAAGAATCGTTGGGTTGTTGTTCCTACCTCTCATTGGAGTCACCCGATTATATTATTTCAATAATTTTTAACGATGTTTGGGTATTTAGGCCTATTTAGATTGCTGATCTAGCCGATCCCGATCGATCCAGCACGAGGCCGTTCCGCATTGATGATCTGAAATTTAAACACCGGTTCAATTTATATATTTTGTGCATGCATTCCACGAAGCATCTTAATATTCACATGCACGTGTTACATGGCACACTTTGGTCAAATAACATTTTTTTAATAATTTGAGTGTCCCCAAAAGTAAGTTTTCACTTTAGGAGAAATTGGTAGGTTTTTCATTTGACGAAATAATAAGACATATGATGTGGTCCATCAACGCGGCGATAGAAAATCTACTGCGAATTCTAATGAATTAATGTAGGTCCCACGCGTCCATTTACTTAACGAAAATGGTTTGGCAGGTATGTAGCTTTTTCAAAATAAGTGAAGGTTCACCTCATAACTCAAAAGAAATTGTAATTTTAATGTTGAAATACCTTTAAATCGATCATATCAGCTTGAACATTACGGTTGTGCAAAAATGTAACAATCTTAAACTTTCAAAAAATAAAAATAAAAATAAATAAATATATATATATATAATAAATATAAATAAATAAATAATTATTTATAGTATGATGGTCCATATAACTATTATGATCCTTAAGGACCATCACGACTTTGTTCATTTTTTTCCTTTCAATACCACGTTCCTTTAGTGGACGTGGGCTTTAAACATTTCATGTGTAATGTAATTGTTACACCTCATGTATGAGGTGTAACTTAATAAAATAATATAATAAGGTATCTTAAGAATTTAAATAAGAGAAGAGAGGACTCCCACTCTAAAATTTTTTTGAGATCTTTCTCTCTCTAGTCGAAACGCAATGAGCTTTTTCTCTCTTTAGCCGAATTTTTATCAGAAGCTACCTCTCAAATATTTTAGGTAAGTGACTTCATTATCTTGAAAAATAATCTGTTCTTTTTAAAAAATGAAATGAAATAATTATTTCTACTTATTATCATGAATTTTAGGCGCGATAAATTTTATACGCAAGCGACCTCATTATTTTGAAAAATATTTTTTTTAATAAAATCGTGATATTTTATCTATGATAGAAATTTTAAATGCTGTAAATTATTAGAAAGAAATTTATTTATTTTTCTTGCCTATTGTTCGAGAATTTTAGATACTGTAAAATTATTAGAAATAAATGTGATATTTCTGCTTTAAGTAAAATTATGAGATTTCTTTCTACTGTTTTTGAATATTTGGACATTGTAAAATTCATGTGCAAATGACTGCCTTATTATTTGAAAATTGATATTTTTGCATTTGATTATAGCATTGTCTGTGAAATATTTATTTGCAAATTGACATCCCATAAATTGTGATAATTCCGTATTCTTGGATTTCTATAAGAGTTTTCTATACATACGAGATTGGCAATTATGGTAGAATGTCCTTACGAACTGCTACCATTCTAAATTTGAGCCCAAAATATTTGACCGATTATTTTTGAAATGTTATTGAAAGTGACTGTTATTAATGGTTTCAATGAAATTCATATTAATAATTTCAGTGATATGTGGAGTACATGATATTGTTGCTTTCGAATGTTTAAAGAGATTTAAAAATACTTTAAGTATGCAAGTGGACTCATCCCGTTCGTCGGTGAGGTACAAGTGGACCTATCAGGTACGCTGATAGGGATTAAGTGGACTCATCCGGTACGCTGGTGAGGTATAAGTGGACCTGCAGGGATTAAGTGGACATATCTGGGACACCGATAGGGATTAAGTGGACCCATCAGGACGCTGATGGGATATATAGGTAACCTACTTGGGACGCCAGTAGGGTAATTTGTGAAATCCTTTGAATTATACACTGCCGTTAAAATGTTATATGCATTTCAATTATTCGGATTATACATAATTATGTATTTTTGAAAGTGAAACTGTTAATGCATTTCTGTTAATATATCTCCTTTTTGAACATATTGATATCTTTCAACCATGATTATTTTTAGGATTACGATGATCACTTACTGAGTAGCCAAACTCATCAAATTATGGTAAATTTTTTTTCAGAATAACTGCAGTTTTATTTTGAGTGCTCGTCAGGATCAACTATGGAAAATATTGTAGTTGTGCTTAAACTTTCTTTTGTTACTTTGTAAGAAATCGCCACTGTAAATTTGTCCTATCAAGAGATGTCTATATGTTTTGATTGTCACAACTCAGGAATATCAATATTGTAAATTCTTGGGGCGTGACAAAAAAAAACTAAAATTTTAAATTCTAAAAATAGTGTATATTGTAACTAATCATCTAGACCAACCATTTCTCCCTAAAAACAAGTGTTTATAAATCCATAAGATCTGTACCATTTTTTTAGTTTCAAATTTCATTGTTGGTGTTGAAAATTAATTTTAGAGCTATCTTGAAGATTTCCGATGCCGAAAGTGCTTCCAGATGAAAATTTGAGGTGGGATTTTATTTTGTTTTCATAAAGCCTAAGCCCTATGGAAACTTCAAAGTTTCAAGCATAGACTTCATGATCACATATGAATTGTCATTTAGTTTCTATGTGAAGAAAGACCTACGAGCTTATTTGAACTAGGGCTCTTGGCTGCGAGATTTTTAGCCTCATGATCAAAGTTTGCAATGCTAGGAAACTTACCAAGAAAAAAAAGCAAAGAGGAATTAAGGAAAACCTGGAGTTGTGGTGGTAGTACAACTTGAGCCGCTAGTTAAAGATCACGGTGTCCATTTTTGAAAGAATTCTCTTTCTAAAATAGATAGGGGCTGTAATCCCGACTGATCTGCCTCAAAAAACGAAAAAAACAAACAAACAGAATGTAGAATGTTAGATAAGGAAATAAAAAGATGTTTAATGCTTTCTTGTCCCCTTCATCCATGTCCAGAGGAGAAAGAAGGTGTATGGATGTTGTGTACTTCAATGTAGTTAAGATATTTGTTTCATGAACTTTTAAGAAAGAAGTTGTATGCATATTCTGTACTACAATATAGTTAAGACATTTGTTCCATGAACTTTATATAGGGTCATAAGTATAAAGTTTATTTGGCACTTGTTAATTCTTAAAAGCTTTGAAGGTTGGACATGTTTGGTATTTTATAAAGCAAGCGGTTTGTATAGAGCTGAGGCTCTAAACAATCAAAATAAAGCGCATTTTCAAATAATGTCGAGAAATGTGGATTCAATACTGAAAGTCTTTGTGAACACCTTAAAATATATTTTCATTTTTAATTATAAAATTTAAATCCTAAAAAATAGTGTAGATCGAGTAGATCTATGAAAACTTGAAAATCTTGAAAATTGACGATCCAAAAAATGCGTTACAAGATGTACTATTTCCAAAACTTGAAATCCATTTTTTTTCTCATGTCCATGCATCTTGATGTCGAGATGATCAATTTGAGGATATTTGTGCATCAAAACAACCTCTTATAATGAAAATTTTGATGTGGGCTCTAA